TGGCCTGTAACTCTGGTTAGGGCTAAACGCTCTTCGCGCATTAATGTGTTTCCCTTTAGATTTCCTACTTTTATTAATGTCAAAGTGGCGCCTGTATCGAGGAGGAAACTTGTTTTTTCCTTTTTTGTCTCTCGCATCGGCAGGGTAATCAAGTCTAACGTGGCGTTTGTGTGAGGCGTATTCACCTGTGTCACTTGATGCTCGCGTACGGTTCGCGTTATCTTTGTTCTCGGTTTCTCTTCTTCTTCGTCGTCGCCACTGCTTGTGAACGATAGGTCATCGCTCCCCCTTTGCTGCTTATTCTTTCTCATTATTACAGCGGTATTTATTTGTCGCCCTTTTTCATTATCCTGTCTCGTGCGTCTCGGCTGCCCCTTTCTCGGGCGACCGTTCAGTGACCAGCATTCGTCGCGCTTATGATCTGCCTTTTTGCAGTACGAGCAGTATTTCTCGATATTATTTACGTTCGCCGGTCGTTCGGCTCGCGGTAGCGGATATTTGTTTGTGTATCGGCTTGAACGACAGTCGCGCGCCAAATATCCTAGCCTACTGCATTTGTGGCACTCCAGTTTTTGGTTGCGGTTTCTATACTGTTCTTGGTTGCTTCTCGTTATTGTACATTTTTATAGGTTGGCTACCTTTTAATTTTTCTTCGGCTGTCGCGCCTAGCATTGCGACTGTTAAATTCGTATAGTTCCTGGATCGTACTATTGTTTGTATCTCGTCACGTAATCCTAGTTGTAAATTTTCTAGGGCTAATTCTTGTATCGTATCTAGGATTGCCATTCGTTGCTCCGCGGTGTGCTCGCGTCCTTCTACCATAGATTGATAGAGTTCCATTGCTAGTTTGTCAACGCGGAGTCCGTATTCTCGCGCGCTTTCCCCGGGTTTTTGACGGGTTATATTAAACTCTCGTTGAATGTGCGTAGTGCTACGCTTTGCCAAATAGCACATCTCGATCTCGCACTTCAGTTGCATGAACGTGCGTATCCCTTGTTTAGAAATCGTGCATGGCTTTCCCTGTTAGTTTCGTGCACAAAATCGCTTTTAATAATGATTTTTCGTCGGCAGGATTTATTTCGCTCATCGCATACGTGCTTGCGTTTAAAAATTTTTGAACTTGGTTCCGCGATGATCCGTCCATCTCCGGAATCATATCGCGGGCTTCTTTTAGTTTCATAAACGTATGTGCGGGATCTCGCGAATTTCGGACATCATCCCGTGTACGCCCGTATGTCATTTCTATCGGATCGTCATTTTCTGCACTCCGATCGTAATTAACGACTTCTAGTTGGCTTATGCGGCCCTGTAGTGCTCGCATGCCTTCTATCAACTCGACCAACATTGCATCTCGCGCGTCGTGCGAAGATTCCGCCGGGTCAGATTTCCAGTGTGCCTGGCTTAAAGTGGCTCTCATCCTTTTTACTTCGTCGTCCAATTTTTTGTTTACTACTTGTTGTTCTTCCGCGATCGATTTTAACGGTGTGCCCGAGGGTTGATTTGCCATTTCCGCTGGATTTATGTTTCGTGAGGCGGTGTAAAATTCGGTTGGATCGAACACACTACTATCGTAAGATGTCAATGAGAATTCTCCGCGGCTAGGGTTACTTGCGTTCGTGCCGTCGCTATGGTCAGATCTTGCGTCTGTTGGTTGTAATAGAGCGGCGTCGCGTCTCTCACTACTCGGTAGTAGGCTATTATCTATGTCACTAAGCGAAAACACGCGTTCAATTACAATGTTCGGATGTAATTCCGGTTGACTCGTCAGACTATCGTCGGAATAATAATTACTTAAATCGCGGCGTACGTTATCGCGCGGATCGCGTGAATTTTCCGTCTGCTCGAGGCTCGGAGGGCTCGGGCTGAGCGCTCGGCTGGCTGACGCACTATGTAGCCACGACGTGTTTCTTTGGGCAGGAGTTTGGTTAACTCCCTCGTTCGACAACTACCTACACGCTTCTCTCGCTATCTAATGCGCTTGCCTTAATTTTCTATGACTTACATTACGCTCGCAATTCGCATGTTTGTGACATGGTGCTGGCTGTTGCGGTAGGTCGTGGCTTCTCCGGTGTCACTGATATGCTCTGCGTTGTGGCTCTACCGGCTCTTTCTCGCCACAGGGATGTCGACTTCTTTTCCGGCCTTTTCCTTGAATTCCGATCGTTTGTTTCTTCCAGATGACTGGGTGTAGCTGCGAAACGATCCCACCGCTGCCACCAGAAATGTTGTGCGGGTCGTTTTGATGGATCGGTCAAGGAGTCGGCGGGAAGGAGGCGCTCACCACTTTGTTTGATAATCAATAAATTTTATTAACACTTGATACAGATTGTCCTTTTTAATTCGGATTGCGACAGACGTGACGGCACGGCGGATCTCGACGAAACCTCTCCTATCTCCCGTTTTTATCCTGTTCCAGGCGGCCGGTCCTTGCCGTGTCATCAACATGTTCGTCAGCGTTCGCGGTATATTTCTGGGTCGCGCGGCGGTTTTCCGCGTAAGGATCGCGCAACCCGGTTAACAGTTGCTTCCCGTGGAACGATTACACAATATTTGCGCGATTAGCACGATAGCGTTGGTAATCGCTATCGCTTGGTAAAATAATAATTCGTCGGATAAAGTATCGCTTGCCGCAATTCGCTTTGTCAGCGGTGAGCGTGATTGCTTTCTCGGCGCTCGCGACAAAAGTAATGTTTAAGTTGAACAATCATAAACATTATAATTTAATAATAATTTAATTTATAATTACTTAAGTTCCTTGTACACATATATCATCCACCTCCTTATATTAAACTTATTATAATAATTTTTTTTTCCTTTTGTGGCATAAAGAGAGAGGAAATGTAAGACGATTAATTCTTTATTCATATCGATGTTGCTTGAGTGCCTACCGGAGAGCGGGAGCGCTTATTATTTTTATTTTTCTCTCTTCACCTGCAATTACCAATCCTGAACTGCAGCATAATAATATTAACAAGTTAGTGGCAGGATAATAGTCCTACACATATAATTGTCCAGTCGAATAAATTGTCATGCGAACGTCGCCTTATTTAATATAACAAACATACCATATATCAGACGATACATAATGACTGAGGCAGGTAAAGAGCGCTAACACGCCTAATGGCCACGGCTTGACCATTTGCATTAAGATACCCGGAAAAAAAAAAAACGGGGGAGAGGATA